CTCCAACGCCCGGCGATCCACACGGCAGCCCTCCCGCGCAAGCCGATCATAGCGAGATTCGGCGTCCTCACGCGGCCTCTTCTGACCGCGGCCACGACCCGCGTCTGCAGTGGCCCCTTCCCTGCAGCCGGACGACCTTGGCCTGTCCACCCAGGAAGCCACCAGGCGAGGCGCCGGCTCGGATGATGAAGAGGCTGGCTCGACCCTCCTCGGGCGGTTGCCCACGTTGTGGCAGGCATCGCCGGTGGCCCTGTTGCTGGCAACGAAGGCTCTGGCGGAGAGCACGAGGCTTGAGCTGAACCCGTGGGCGAGGCTCCTCCTTGGGCACAGCTCGGCGCTTCTTGGGCATAGCCTTCTGCTTCGGCTTCGCCTTAGGGCGTGTGGCTGCCGGTTCCTCCACTTCTACCTCGACCTCCACGGTTTCATCCTCCTCAGTGGACACCACGGGCAAAGGAGGCGGCCGAACACGAGGCAGAGGTGGGCGGGTCGCTCCCGCCGCAGCCTCTTGAGCCACTGTAATGGCCGGTGGTACATCACCCGGCTTGACCAAGCGACGGTCGTGGCACCGCAGACCGCCCTGACCGAAGAACGGCCGCACACTGGTGAGCCAGCGCGCAATTGGTCGCCCGACAGGCTTGGGACTGAAAAGCCGGGCAAAGGCGCACACCATTGCGAAGGAAAGCGGAGCACACTCGCCCGTTGACCTGGGCAGGCATAACCGGCTCCTCTGGCGACCTGCGGGTCTCTCCCGCGGTAACCGCTCGACTCTGGCGGCGGAGTCGGAGGGCTGTCTCCTTGAAGGCAAGCTTGGCTTCAGGGCCGGGAGTGCCTGCGGGGGCGCCCCAATGTAGCATGGAGGCGCACTTTCTCGCCGACCTCTTCGCGCAGGCCTGGATCAGCGGCATTGAGGCGGCCTGGAGGCACCTCTGACCAGGTGTCGAAGGACAGGCACCGAGCCGTGGCCGAGAGTACAAGGTGCTTCACCCGCACACTGGCAGCATAACGAGTGCCACTATAGTGCAAAGGCATCGCCGCACCGGTCTCACGTATCTTGCCCTTATCCTGCCAATCACCCAGCGCCAGCATGCTCAGCTCATCCAACTGGAGCAGCGTACCCACAGACGGCGCCACCCTCCGCCATGAGTAGGTAGTGACCGGCGGCTCCATCCCGCTGAAGACTTCCTGCGTCAGCATCGTGACCTGGCGCAGCTGCCAAGGCCGGCCGGCTGGGTCAAAGCACAAGCCACAGTGCTTCCGCGCCGCCGCCGACAAGGAGCCGTAAAACTCCACCCAGGCCTCCGCCCACGCAAAGCCTTCAGTGAAGTGTGCTGGCACTGACCAACGGAAGCCCGATCTGGAATGAGCCTGCTTGCCTCGGCCACACCACATGTGGGCAGTTGACTGCGTAACGCAGACGGGAAACGACCGCTCCAGGTGCTTGTGGCGCACACAACCGGCCATGATCAGCCAATCCGCCAGGAGGCACGACCAGCGAGGATCGCCCTGCTCATAAAGCCTTGCGACCCGATGCTCGAGCTCCTCGATCATGCCTGGCTCAGCAACCGCAGCCTGGGCGGGTCCCTCCCGCCCAAGGGCTGGCGCCGGTCGAAGATCCCCTAGCTCGCAGGGAGGCCCGACAACTTGACGAACCAACGCAGTCCAGCCAACGCCCGAGCCGGGGCCTGGGTACCCTCCTGCAAGAAGGCAAAGAGGTCAATGGAGTCGATGTCGCCAAGCC